CGGATTCTCTTTGCAACTACTCGAACTCCTGTTGGAGCTTTGCTGTATCCCGAATGAAGATTACACAGTCGTCCTCGGATCGCAACTGCGTTGGCTGATTATACTCAATCATGCTAGTGTCGTTTCACCAGCTTAGTAGGTCCAACAGTGTCTCTGAGGTTGCGGCGAAGGGCGCTCAAGATACCTCCTCAGCGCACTTCTCGATGGTACTGAAGCGATATCATTTGCTATACAGCTTGAGGTCCAATATGAAGCCATATTTTAGCTCCTAGATTAGAAGGGTTTCTTCAGTGGAGTTTATACCATATTCATTCACAGCGTTTAACATAGTCATCAATTCGATGAAGTCGTACCTTCTTGCAGTCGATGAGGACGCAGCAGTGACAGTTGATATTCTTTGCCCTTATCCGTCAGTACTTGAAGATGTATGACTGGCGGATATGAGAACCGGCGTGTGCTTAATTCGAAGTCTTTCTGAAAACAGTTCGAAGAGATGGCCTGGTGGATTTCTAGATTTGGGACAAACGTGCAGCTGATTGGTAGTTCTTGTCTTCACAGTTACTTTCTGCACGATAAAATTATCCTTAATGTCTTCCACGCATTCGCAGATTTATTCTGTCCGATGGACTTCATTTGGCAAGCAGAAGGACTGTTCCATCTGCTTTAAGATGTTCTGATATTGCAATCGCCTGGACACTTGCCTGCTATTTTAGTTTTCGTTACTACTCACTTAAATTCGTGGAATGTGACTTCAGAGACAGAATGTAACCAATTTTGATCATTTTTATATTTGAGGATTGCAGGTTGTCGTGGCAACCAATTCAGTTCACGTTCATTCGACTGCGATCTGTAGTCATGACTCCTTTTGCGTCTTTCATCGGACTCAGAATGCGCTGTTCGGCGCGAATAATCCGTTGCATCATTTTCAAGCATTTCTTCCTCTCGGTACCCGCTCGTAGTCGCATTCTTCCTGAACCTTGACAAGCGTCTATCAACATCATCGACATCATCAGTGAACGAATTATCCATTTTTCCATCGACATTCATTTGGGCACTTCTAGCCGTTTCTCCGATGCTAAACTACCAAAGCACTGAATTCAGGGTGACTTTTTGTTTGGTTCGACGATCATATGGCAACCTTGCTAGTTTCAAAATAAAGATAATAATCCGCATATATATTCTCGCTGATATTCATTTCATGGTTAACTTATGTCAGCTTTTCTTAGACAGCTTCCGGATCAAGTCCTTGCCCTCTACATGCACGTCACTATTGCTCTGAGAGCGAGCATATCGTCGAGAAGAAATCTATCCTATACAGACTTTATGAAGGAAGTAGGAAAGTTCGCCAAGAGTGCTGCTGCACTACGTCTGAAGAAATGACTTTGGAAACTTGACGTTCACTTGATATCAAGCAGAAGTGCTGTTTTTTTTGGATTAAGAATTAGTTAGTATACGAATATAAGATCAAACAGTGCAAAAGAACATAAAATAGAAAGCATGCTCGGAAAGAATACGTCTTCAATAAATTCAGTGGCAATACAACAAAATAGTTCAAACATTTTGTCCTGAGAGCTGATATGGCTAACACCGAATACAGCACTATAACTGCGAACACTATATACTAATAACTAGAACTTAAATTAAGGTCTATAACAGGAGCGACGCGGTACTATCGATGCATTTCATCGAGAAAGAATGACGACGGCTAGAGCAGCATGTTTCGACCAGCGCATGGTCCCAGATCGCGACGTCACTCACAGTTTCGGAGACATGCTGATCATGACTTGGCAAAGCAAGATGGCTGAGAGAGGAGATTTTCCTATTCCACAAGAAAACGTGGAGAAAACTTGGGTGGTGAAAACAACTATAACATCAACGTTTGTTACTCGATTTACAACAGACATATTATTCAGAAAATGTGCGAGTCGGTGGTTATTTTTGCTAATGGTTTGATCTCAAAATCATAGATCGAGAAACACAATCTTGACCACGTGAAAATCTACTGATAAAATCCCTGAAATCTGTAGTATTGGGAAAATAACCAGATCAGCCATGAGCATTAAGAATTTGCAAACGGCTTACAAAATAACCCTCATTCGGAACAGTGATTAATATAATTACAGGGCAAACAAAACAGTACTCAGTAAGGCATAAACAGAAAGCCCCCTAAACTCGTTCGACTCTGTACAGAAGTGTTTTCGCCAATGTTACATTTAGGTTTCTATGAAACAGAGGTTAGTTTAAATTACATGAAGCAATCAAAAATTGAAAAATATTTCAGTAATTCAAATTACGCTCATATGACTATAACGAAAGATCACCTTTCGCAAGTTTAGAAGCTGTGACCACCGGTTTTAAGATTTTGCTCAAATCATCGAGCTCGCTCTCCAATCTCTTTTTCTTGTCTTCATGCTTTTGCGACTCGATCTATTTTAACAACCGTTTTACAACGTCATTCAGTAGTACAAGTTACCTTTTCCATGCTTTGACCCTTGTACTTGACTTGTTGGGTAACCATCTTGATAAATTTCTGCTGCTTTGTTCCCTTTTTGTTTTTAAGACCGAAGGTTTTATCCTAAAAATATACGTCATGAAAAAAATAAAAAAAACTAGAATAAATTTCAATCAAATCAGATTAAAACAAATTTGGAGGAAGGGAAAGTCGAACGGAAAATATTTATTGTACTAAGTGATATATAAATTGAGAAAACTAATTGAGGTTTCGCATCCATGCACTATAAGTGTCAAAACAGCAAGAAACCATGACTTGTTTAAATATACCTCCGTAAACGTTATGCCACTCAGAGACACTAAAACGTAGCTTTTGCCAGTAAACCTCTTCAGTTAATATTGAAAGATTAAACTCAAAAAATTTTCTTGATAAACATACGAGTCACAGAGTGAACACTCATACGAACTATAACACTGTGGTTCATGTGAATATTAATTTTCATGGTTTGCATGCTAATCCTATGACAAAGTCTCGAGCTCAGTTTCCTCACATAAACAAATAAACGGTTGAATAAGCACAGACTATGATCGCATGAAATCTGCATAAAAAAAGGTCACAAGAATTATGCAAACATGTCAAATACGCTAGTGATAAAGTGACGTAAAATACAACACAATCTTTGTGAAACTATTTTCAGTCCCTTGATCGGATATTAATTCATCTCAATCGGGAAACAGATGACAATCATTATCACTGCACTATGTAATTCAAAACATAAATCAGAAACTAGCAAATTATTGATTCCCGTGCTCCATATTTACATAAATATGCAAGCAACACAACGTCAAGCTATGTTCAAAACGAAACATGGCAACATCCACAATTCTAAGCACCATCCGCATGATGAAACATATATCAATTTCGTCCTCTGCTTAATTAACTTCAGTAATCCGTCCAACGGATGTCTGCACGGGAATACAACATTGTAGTATCATTTCATCCAATATGCAGCTTAATCGTAAACTCTGAATGCCCAAGCATTTCTCATCGCTCGTTTCACGAAAATTCACTCCAGATGATATAACTGGTTCACAGTCTTGGCAAAATATTATTAACAACCTAATGCTTTTGATGATCAATGGTCAGTTTATTTTGCAGGCCTTTTCACAAATACAAATTGCCAAAAACCAGATAAGAGCTTTGATGAATGAGCGAGGAGAAATTTCCATATAAACTGTCACTATGGCTTTACAGAACGCTGATAGGGCAATCACTAGTATCAATCAGGAGAATGGAAAATAAAACTTTTACCCATCAGAAGAGAGCACACAAAAACAGGCGTAGGTGAAAATGTTTGTAACAAGTGAAGTAAAATACTATATCATTATTATCAACCCTTGTAGATCCACTGCTGAATGAAGGCTTTCCAAAATTTCGCCAAAGACTTCAGTATCCTGCTATTTTCATCCATGCTGATTCAGCGAACTCTTCAGCTCGTTTTGCCGTTGATCTGGAGATCCTCACGGGCCATTTATTTTCTCTTGGAGGCCAGTTTAACGTCTCTCTGATTTAGAGATGGAACGCATAACGATAAGAGCCGGTTCAATTTCTTCACTCGTGTGATGATATCACATATTCTTCTTTGTACTTTAACTCATCCATTCCTCTTTATAACTTTGCGTGTTATTCCCAACATACACCATTTCGCGCTGAGTTGCAAAATCTACAGTTTATGAATAGCTTTCAAGCCTAGGCTCTATGTTTTACACCCATTGGCTGGAGTGACATACCGAATACTTCCCGTTTCAAGCACAAGGGTAGTGTTCCAAATAAAAACATTTACAGTGTTCTAAAGGTGCTCCATGTCAGTTTCACAATGTTGTTGATTTCGAAGTGAAGTCTCCATTGAAGAAACGACCTGTCTCTCAGATAAACGTATTTCGCACCTCTTCAAGCCTACGTCCATTCACTTCAACAAGTCATGGGATCATATAACTGTTAAATATGAGCTGCCTTTTGCAAATACATTTTCAGACCTGCTTTGATGTTCGCTCGTTCAGCTGCCAAATTCTTCTTTGGAGCTGTTCTTGTAACCCAGAGTACCTTTTGCCGCCGTATATCGAAATGAAGTGGCTTGAAAACTTCTTTTAACGCTGCCTGAATAACTTCGGTGATTATGCATCAGCCTACTGTATGTGCATTGCGCTTTTCAACTTGTGCTTCTGTGAAACTTTATATTCGCGTCGATCTAAGTCGATTCTCTGGCTCTCAAGGAATGCAATGCACAAGAGATGTACACTGAGTCGAGGGCAAACCAGCCTCGGGAGAACGAGGGTCATAGCCACGGTTGTTATTTCACATTGGAGTTTCTCACAACGTTAACCAGGAGAGTAGGTGAGTGTTATCTCTTCCATTTGGCGGGGTATATCTCTCAGGCTTTCACCGGTATCTTATTTAATTTCGGCGAAAATAACTGAAAATTCACCAAAGCATATGCTTTATAACAAATTTAACAGAGAAACACTGTGACGCTTCCGTAATCTGGCGTAAGTACACCCTGTCTAACCTTAATTTAAGCTTTCAAAATAATCGGATATTTTTTTCAGATCTGAGGTTACACACCTTTCCGTTCTGTCGAGTGAGGGGGACGTGAGTGGATCCACCGTATACTCGAATCGATGGCACACTGAGTATCCTAACGGTAGTTCACTATAGCTTCGATGAAAAAGTATAAGAAGGATATACTCAATTTTAAAGATGAGCGAATCCTTGGTTCAATAGCTTGTCGTCATCCAAATCGACGAGTAGAGTAGTATTGCTAGTAGTACCAGCAACGGTCACAATAGTAGTAGCAGAGGTAGTAGCGTATCTTTCACTCAACAGGGCTGGACTGTACTGCTCCCTAGTACACTGCTCGCAAATTTACTACATTTTCTCAAGCTCTATTTCCTTAGGTATCCAATCAAAAACTTTTATAACGTGAAGGAAGGTTATGATGAAGTCTCTGTTTCGGTAACTGCATGTTTCGAGGACAAAGCTTCACGTCAGTAAAAGATTTTCCGCCGATTTTCATCCAGAGGCAACGATATTTGTGCAAGTGATTAAGACAAACATTCGCTTAATCGAAATATCGTACCGGACAACATCCTTAATGTAAAAGTCATTGAAATTCACGATAAATTTTACCCTATTATTAAATGAAGGAAGAAACATTCGTTTCTTCAAAACGACGTACAATGGTTGTTTCTGATTCTTCTCCTTCCTTGAGTGTCTCCTTTAACAGGGCTCCGCTGTTCCAGGCAACTCTCTCCATGTCTTTCGGTTTAGTCAAATTTCTGGTCATCTTACCCATAAAAATGTAATTCATTTAATTGCTAGAACTGTTCTGTTGAAGAAAAGAATCTATAACTCACAAGAAGAAATGCGCTATTCGTGTCACAT